TGTGGGTGGTAGTCAAATCATTACAAAGGCATATAATGGGTCCGAGGGCTGGACTCCAACTTTACGGTATAAAACTTTTTTTACAAAATGATTAATTGAGAACAATAACGTGGGTTTAATAAATCATTTAAAAAACAAAACCATTGTAGTTCCCTGGGGTCTTAATTTATTACAATAATCAATATTAAAAAAATATCATTGAATTTAGGACAATTAAGGGGGGTTTGGATTTTTAAAAAATAGGAAAATCAGAATATTTTTTTCTAGAATGGCGGGTAATATGCACTGGATTCAATGCTGTATAAAAATTTAAAATTTTTGTGACGAGCTCCCCCCGAATTCAAAATTTTTTACGTCACGCCAGCACATAATGAGTAGGATGGTCTAAGTTTATCTGGCATGTTCATACTATGTCTAGATCAGCTGGTGTCCACTCCCAGAGGTCCCTTAACCAGCAGAACCCGGGCGGTTTGACACCCAAGAGTCGCTGATTGTACTGTAGTAAATGGTTCAGAAAACCGACATGTTGATAAATTAGACACATGTACAACTCTTGGTATCTTTATTGAGGAACGTTTCGCCACCTGGCTTCATCAGCCATACAAAGGGAGAATCTTGAAGAACAGGAGGAAAGAGGAATCAGCCCCTAAACCCTTTGAGCGATGTGGTCAGTCCATCAATCTTAAATAGAAAGGGCATACGTGCGAAAGGAGTTTAAAAACCGTTGGCGGAGAGGTAAGAGTCATAGGGGCGGTAACATATGTTCAAGTTGAATAGGTCGGGCCAAGAATTAGCAAGGAAGAATTCCCAAGTATTAAGATCCAAGAAGTTCAGTGTCACATGTCTGTCTCGGTTCTCTAACCATTATCTACAAACCCGTCAGACACTGCAACTTCTTGGATCTTAATCTTGGGAATTTTTCGCTTGCCTAATTTTGGGGACGAAACCCACTTCAAAATTGAACATATGTTTTTACGACCATGACTGCCGCCCCTCCCTGCCAACGGGTTTTTTAACTCCCTTTTCCCGTATGCCTTTTTCTATTTAAAATTGATGGATGACCACATCGACTCAAGGTTGGGGACTTTACCTCATTCTCCTCCTGTTCTTCAAAATTCTCCCTTTTTATGGACTGTGAAGCCACTGTGTGGCGAAACGTTTCCCCCAATAAAGATACCCAAGAGTTTGTACATGTGGCTGATTGTACTGGATTCTCAAGACTGTGGCTCCTTTTTCATTATTAATGATAATACTGATGTTACGTTTTGGAGGTGTTGCGTGACTAATGTGTTGGTGTGACATGTGTTGCTGTGACATGAGGTGTTGCTGTGATGTAGAAGTGCACTGAGACTAGAGGGTCACTGAGACTAGAGGTGTCCTGAGATGGAGATTTGCTGTGACGTAATTGTTGCAGTAACTAGTTGTTTCAACAACTTTGCAAAAAAACCTTGACTACGAGAACAGCAATTCTGTCTCTCAACGGACAAGGAAGTTCGATCCCCGATGCTGACACACACGATCTTAATCTCTCATACAATACAAAAAAAAAAATAAACCCAAGAGCATATTATTCTTCTGGTTTTAATGATAGATATTCTAGAACTTGCATGTGCTAAATGATTTTTTTCCCCATTTTGCTTTTGAAAGATTTTTATTAAAAAGACATTGTATCTTAATAATATAGAAATGTTACATGTTAGAGAAGGTACACTCTCAATAATCCATAAATAACGTCTTAGAGAAGTAAATAATCTCAAAAAAACACCAATAAAGCAATTTCCGATCTATCTTAATTTTAAATGCTTTCTCATAGATTTTATAAATGATTTCAATTTGGTTTTAAATCTTTTTAAGGAAAAAAAAAAAGACATATTGATTTCCAGGTGGGTTGAAAGACAGTGTACCTGTACCAGCACGGTCACCTTCAAGTAAATTATTTCACCCGTCTCGTAAAGTAATGTTTTCTGGGGGACATTTTGCTCAGCTTAAATTTGATCGTAGAGCGAAACGATGTAAACAGCAAACGCTTTACTGCATTTCTTTGACAATACGAATTGCATCCATTTTTCCCCCCCTGGGAAAAGGGGAGAGTTGGAGCAAGACCACCAAGACCTGGGGTGATTTTCCATCAACCTTTTTAGCTAATTGATTCAGGCAGGGCGGAAGTGATCTTTGGCTCCTGTAAACACGGTAATTTTAAAAGTTCAAAGGAGAAAATGCTCAGGGTGTTTGAAAACACATCGAGATTACTCTTTTTCCTTGTTACTGTTTTGCATAAAACAATCACCCGTTAGAAATCTCTTAGCTTAAAAATCATTAAACCCTGGTTTTATTTCTTATAAGAAAAATTTCATTAAATCCATGACATTAGGCACTTTCTTTTGATCTGATTTTTTTTACCAAAAAATCTTAATTAAGTGATTTTTTTTGAAATTTCTTAAAAAAATTTTTTGACTCTTCCCCGCCAAGGAAAACGCTAA